GCTATTGGCACCGAGTTGACCCTCCTTAATTCTAGTCTTCTTGGTCATACTGGCTGCGTTCAGCAGACTCAACAGTTTTGCAACCGCTTTATGATTGTCTGCTGAGATAGGACCATTCTTCTAGATCTAAAAGTATGATCCAATCAGCGCGAAGGAAACTTCCAACAGTTGTAAAACAAATGTTCTGCTGAACGCAGCCACTGATTAAAGCTGATTGCACCTCTCTGATAAATCTAGGACTCTAGTACACAGTGCTCATATCGAGTTGGTATGACAGACATCCTAACCTGAATAGTCGTGAACTTTAACGCTTAATATCTCGGTTCGCGGGGCAGAGCGACGCTTTTTTCTACCAGATTCTTTCGTTTTATCGAAAAACGCGTTGAGTGAGTATAATTTCATCGATTTTTAAGAGGATGACCGTCCATTGCACCTTTACCGCAATCTGAATTTATTTATTAGTTATTTAATGAATTTATTTATTGAAAGTAATAAATAACTTAAATAAGTCTGCTCGCGTTGCTTGCATTTTTTACATTCAGCATCTTCGCTTTCTTTTTTCAACGCCCAAATATATATCTACCTCATTTTAAGTTTAAAAACTTTGAAGAATTTTAAGCAACGCGAACAGACCATTTGTTTTTTATTGATTTTTCTTTATTTGTTTTAAGAATTATATTTAAATTATTTTTACTAATATTGCAATATTTCTTATATAGGTTATGCTCAAAATGAATTAATGTAAATAGTACATACAACATAATATAACTTTATGTTTATGTATTCTTATCTTGCAAATGATATGGATGCAGATATATTAAGAGCGATATTAAAAAGTTACACTGATGCTGAAAATTTTTTTCAATCTGAGGATTACAAGAACATGTCAAAGAAAACTTTTCTTTGCATACAATCTGATGTAGTACTGAATACTTTGTGTGTATCATTGAGCAATCTTTTGTGTTATAAAATATCCAAGGAAGCATATCAACGCTATTCAGTCCGATTGTTACTAATTGTATGTTGATTATTTATTAAAATTTGAAATATAGATTAATATATTTTAATTCTTTAAGTTTTTTTTATAATTAATATTTTAGTATGATATGATCGTGTTACAGGATGTTTTACGGAATTGGTGCAGAACAACGAATAATTTTAAACATTTGAAGATATTTGCATCTAAGGAAAATAGCCTTAAGTTCATGAATATTCTTTTAGAGAAGTATCTTACAGATGATGTTTTGAATAAGTGCTATTCAGAAGATACTTTGATATGTTTAACTGTTTCTGTAATGCATCTGTCAGTTAAGAATACAATTTTTATGCATCATGTGGATCGGTTATTTTTAAGACTTTTACAACTTGAAGCAACTTATAAAATTGAAAAATTATTATGTAACGCTCTATGCTCAAATTTACATCTTAAACTAGCCACGAAAGAAGAAATTTACACTTTACAAAAGTTTAAATTAATAGAAGAACCTTTGCTCAATAGTTTTATGTACATGTTTCCTAATTTGAAGAAAGAGGATGATGTGAATAACCAAAATAACGAGGAGATGCTGAATAAATTATTAGAACTTAGTGCTAGGTCTGCATATGTTTTTCAATTAATGTTTAATTTTTTAAAAGAATTACTAGTTCAGCTGCAATATGCATCTGCAGTCCTAGATTTCATAGATTTGATGTTAAAGCGGGTATCTATTTATTGTGAAAATTATGATAAAGATATATTAGATCTTTATCCTAGGAAATTGCGTTCTTGTATAATTTTATTAAGGATAAAGCCTAAATATCATACAGTGCAGACACGAAAATATACATTACAGACTATGAAACAAATCTATAGTGAAAATAAAAATGTTCCATTAATTTTAATGTCCCATTTTTTGGAGTGGCTTGAATGTTTTACAACTTATGTCACTAATAATATAAAAATTGACTAGAAGGGAATAATGTAGTAGTAATTATTTTAATATAATTCTATGTAGTATTAATGTTATTTTATGTTTAATTGTAAAAATATGTTTATGTATAATGTCTTTATATTTTTATATACCTTTTTAAGACATTATTTGTATATAAGAATGACAAAAATATATTGTAAAGACAGATCTTTATTTATTGTATTGCATCACAAAACAAATATCGAAATGCTTTCACTGAAAAGAAAATTAAATAATAAGTATTATATCTTGTATCTTTATTGAATTATAAAAATGATCATTCATATTTCTCAAATTTTAATCTTAAATGAACTGTTGAATTGAAAACAAGTAACATGAACAAGTAACAAGTAACATGAAAAAATGTATTGTCTATTATAAATATACATACATACAGAATAAATCATTGGAAATTATTATCTTGAATACCTCGAAAAAAAACAATGATCGCGTACAGTAGACTCAACTGTTGTAGAGCGGATTTGTGAGCGCTGGCTGCTATTAGGTGCATCCAGAAGCACGACGAGCACGACCGCTCATTGGCTACGTTTACACCGTGCGCTTAGTCCACGACCTATACGATAGATGTCTTTGTTTAAACCTCTACAGGATAGACAGGATAAACAAGGACATCTATTGTATAGACCGCGGCCTAAATGCACGGTGTAAACGTAGCCATTGAGCGCTCAGGGAGCTCTTACATCTGATTGGCACATTCCATTAGAGCTAAAAATATAGATCAAATAGATACAAGAGCTCACTGATCCGCTCCGCAACAGTTGAGTCTGCTGAACGCGACCATTATTTTTATGATTTGTTTTAAATATTTTTCGAATAATGTACAACAAAAAACGGACGCATGTAATATTGGTCTTAGGCCGATATTTCATGTATCGTACGACAAAGCTTTCAAGCCTGTTGATTGGCTGTAGGACAGAGAGTTACTATACCAGGGAATGGAAGTAATTCGTTACTTGTAACGAAGTTACAGTTACAAGTTACTTTTTTTGGTAACTGTAACGGTAACGAAGTTACATTTTTTTGGTAACGGTAACGAAATTAACAGTTAGTTTTATCGTTACTTTGCACACGATTGGACACGATACGACACAAGCCATTCACACTGTAAAAAAATTTTGTAAATTTACACATATAATAGATGTAAAAATTACATAATTTGTCCTGTAAATATAAAAAAAATCATGTAATTTTATAGAAATTATGTAATTCCACAAAAATTATGTAAATTTGCTTTTATTGTGTAAATATATATCTTATTTTATATGGAAAATTACGTAAATAGCAGGATATTTTGAATATTTTCTATAATTATCCAAATTTTAGTAATATTACTTAATATAACAGTAAATTTTCGCGTATTGCTGTTAAATGTATAATAATATATAATGCGAGAGAAATATACTGAGCGCTCAGTGAGCGGTCGTGGTACTGAATACACCCAATAGGCACAGGGAACAGGGAATAACGAGCCGTCCAATCAGAGTTCTGAGATATAATATCGAATTTATATCCTAGAGCTCTGATTGGACGGCTCGTTATTCCCTGTTGCCTGTGCCTATTGTGTTTCCAGCTTAAAAACTGCTCGTATCGCAGTATTGCGTGATTGTGACAAATTTCCTAACCTAATTGTTAACTTTAATAGTTAATATCGCGATTCAAGTGAAAAGAGTGACGCTTTTTTTCGTATCAAATTTTTTTTTATGCGAAAACGCATCGATTCAAAGCTAGCAACATTTTAAGTGTTCTTCTTAACATTTACCACTTCTTTGCATTTTTCTTTATTTTTAGATTTTACTTAGGCTGTGTTAAAAAATAAACTGGGGAATAATAAATATATATAAATACAGTAAGTTTACTATATGACAAAGAGAGTCGGGGTCTTTTGGCTATTGTATAGGACAACTAATAATAATAGACCTTTAAAAATCCATCAAAACTCAAATATAGTCTCTCTCTCTATCATAATTATACTTTTATTGTATAAAATATATAATAAAAATATTTATTTTTTGACAAATTTATTAATTTTTATATTATTTCTATATAAGTAACAACAATAATTCCATAGAAATGGAGTCAATGGAAGATACTGCTGATAAATCATCAGATGCAATCCAAGAAGAAATAGGTATTTTTAGTAATTTTATTTATATAACTTATTTAATTTCCAAATTTTTTTAAAAATAAATTTATTTTTACAGCGTTTAAATGGCCACAAGAAGCTACTCTTTTATTAATAGAAGAGTATCGATCGCGGCAGAATGATTTCATGAGTGGGAAGATGTCTCAAAAGAAAATATGGCTATTAATTGCCGCAAAAATGGTAAAACATGGTTATAAAGTTAGTGGAGCACAATGTTTATCAAAATTTTCTGGTTTGAAAAGAACATATAAAGCAGTTAAAGATTATAATAAAAGGTATGGCAGTGGATCAAGAACTTGGACATTTTTTCCTGTAAGTTATTTTAAAATTAAAATGCTACACATACAGTACTTTTACAGAAATATAAACTTTAAATTGGATGTTCTTTAAGCTTATGGATGAATTACTTGGTGTGAATCCATCTATGTCATCTGTAACCACTGTATCATCGACAGGAAAAAGATCGCAAATGGAATCTGCATATAGTTCATCTGGTTCAGACAAAGAAGAAGACATACAACCTAGTAAGATAACTATACCTTTACATAATTAGGATGAGATCCAATTAGTTATTTAGGTTTAGTCATTTATTGTTGCTGCATTAATATTTTATTAATTTAAATAAAATGTAAACAATAACAGTTTTCTTGAATTTTAATTACAAATATTCTTAATATAAAATATTTCTATAATTATATAATTTTCAATAAATTAATAATTTTGAATCCTAAGATTGTAATAATTGGGATGTTTAGCATGTAAAATTTATTAACATAACTTTATGCAATAATGTCTTTGTTTTATTTAGAGAAAAGCAAACAAACAACTACAGTAGAAAAATTATTAGAAGATTTAAAGAAGATGAGAAAAGTTGCAGAAGAAGCTCAAGAGAGAAGACATAAAGAAAATATAGAGCTACGCCGGAGACTTCTTAATTCTTTTGACAAAATGTTAAATATTTTAGAAAAGAAATAATTTTAGTTACATAAAATAAAAAGCATTTATGACAAAATATTTAACTTAAAATATTATAATACAATAATCTCATTTAAAAAAAATAAATGGTGTATATTTTCAGATATTTCTTATTATTAAATTATTACAAATTATATCCCGTTTTATATCGCCTGCATTGGTATTTCTTTTTTCAGTTGCTATTTCAATATCATTATTAGTTTCTAAAATATCTGGTTCCACAATTGAAAATTCATCATTTTGCAGTAAACAAATATTGTGCAAAACGCAACATGCAATAATAAATTCTGGAATCAAATCGATACGCTCCATGTCTAAAGTTGTAAGCAAGCTTTGAAATCTTCCTTTGAATAATACAAATGTTCGTTTAATTGTAATTTCAGCAGATGAATGACAAAGATTATAGTTTTTTTGTCTATCTGTTAGATTTCCGTTTTCTTGGAATGGTGTCATTAAATGTTCATGGATTGTGTAAGCTGCATTACCCACTAAATGGCTGTTATTACTAAATTTTTCTGAATCATCTAAATAGTGATAAACTTCAGATAAGTGAAATACTTCTTGACTAGGAACGGAACCGACGTGTCCAGCAAGACAATGAGTAAATCGCAGTTCATGGTCACAAACAGCCTGTCAATAATAAATAAAAAATTAATTATATAACCATCTTTGAAAAAGGAAAGAATTATATAATAGTATTAATTATACCTGCAATTGTATACTATGTTGTTTTTTTTTATTAATATAAGAATCAGGATTGATATGTGGCGTTTTAATTTTAACATGTGTGCAATCAATTGCTCCTATTATTCCAGGAAAATCACTGGTTGCAGTAAATCCTCTAATAATTTCTTCTGCTCTATTATCTTTTGGCCATTTCACAAAAAGATGAGCTCGTTGAGCGATTGCTTTGATTACTCTTCTTACAGCCATTAGTGCTGTGGCTCTGCCTACATTCATTATCTCACAAATGGATCTAAAATATCAAAACATAAGTAAAGAAATACTAAATATGCATACAAAAATAAATTAATACTTAAAACAAAGTTAATATTATGAAAATATTATGAACCGATATGGATCTGAAGTAGCCATTTTCCATAAAGCAATTAAAAATTGCTTTTTAGGTGATATTCTTTTACGCCCACACGTTGATCTTATTAATGATGGTCTTATAATATTCAAAATATATTCAAATGTTGATCGTTCCATCCTAAAAAGAAAAAAATCAATTCTTTATATTACAATATCACAAAAAATCTATTTTCTATATAAATATACAGAATGAGTCAATAGAAATTATGAGATTGTTTCGAATATCTCTGAAAAATAATATTATTTGAAACAAAAAAAATTGTTCGTTCTCTTAAAACTTAAACAACCTTTGTTTGAAATATCCCAAATGTTGCTTGCTAAGTATGCATTGCTAAGTATGTATTGCTATCAGAATTGGAGTAACTGAGTCCTTGTTTGTTGACAACTTGATGCCTTTATAATACAATAACACTGAGTAGCAAATTGCCAGCAATTTGTGGACAACTTTAAAATCGTCATCATCAAAATTCGTACTATTGTCATCATGTTGCCATAATAATATGCAGCACGATACAATACTTTCATATTGCTGACAACGTAAGATAACAGTGGCTGCATTCAGCAGAACGTTCGTTTTGCAACTGTTGGAAGTTTCCTTCGAGCCGATTGGATCATACTTTTAGATCTAGAAGAATGGTCCTATCTCAGCAGACAATCATAAAACGGTTGCAAAACTGTTGAGTCTGCTGAACGCAGCTATTGATGCAGCTATCTTGCTGTTAAACTGCTGGCAATACATATACATATTGTTGTCTGCATGTTGCTACAATGTCGGTATATTCGAAATCGTTGAAGACAAATCTACAGCAAGTTGCCAGCATAAGCAATCACAAATTTGTGCTATTTTGCTGAGATATGCTTTGCTATCTAGGATTTTTTTAAATAATGCTTTCCTTCAGAGATATATTTTCAAAGTGATAATTTTTATCAATTCACATCGTATTATCGTATATATATAAATTTTTCCTATTACTGAAGATAAAATTAAAACTTGAAGATATTTACATACAAAAATATACATACCTGAATTGTGACTTAAACTGTTTATCATTATAACATGATAGAACAATTTCTACATCATCTTGCAATCGAAGTGACCTTTTAATAGAGTATTTACTCAGAAGCAATATACAGTTTTCAATATCTTTAATATAAAGATTATAATGACTATCATCATTATCAAATAATTCTAGTAAAAGTATTGCTTTGGCAAATAACATAGAAATTAATTCCTCTTTATTCACCATTTTGATGCGATGATTAGCTCCTGCATACTGGATGCGGAAAAACTTACCGCGCAGCAAAATGCGCCGCGGTAACCAATGAACATGTTAAGAGCTGTAAGCTTATTGGCTACTGCGTCGTATTTTACCGTGCGACAAGCGTTTCCGCGTCCAGTGTGCAGAAACCATAACCTACCATATTGGCTGCTTTTAAGAGACTAAAGGGGAATGCTCGACTGTAATTGGTTGGTTTTTACATT